GTGGCCCCCGAGTCCACTAAAGCCATACGGCCTTCGTAGTCCTTGATCACCTTCTTCAGCATCTTCATTGATGGCCCTGGCCTCGCGGACGACTGCTGCTCAGCCATCATCTTTAGCACTTGTGTAGCGTTCTTGAGGAAATCATCCACGTCGCGACCTTGTACTGTAGCCTCCAAAGGTGCCGAACCCCCGGCCGTTGAATCCATAGATGCGGAAGCCGAGGTTGCTCCAGACGAAGGACCCGCAGACGACGAGGACTGCTGGGGAGAAGTGGTTGACGCTGGGACCGTCCCATCATCGCGCTTGCCATCACCACCTTTACCAACCGGTCGTAGTCTAGGTTGATTCCCTTTGCCGTCGTCATGCCTGGGAGGATCTCCTTGTCCATTGCGAACTGGGCAGTTCTTCTTCATGTGCCCCTTTGCTCCACATGCCTTGCATCTTTCACTCCTCTCTTCCTTGGGTATGGACATCCAATCGTGGAGAAACTTACAGTTAGCCCGCTGGCATCCCGACTCGCCCACATAGAACTTGCACGGCTTAGATTGGTTGGGGGACGATGCTCCTGGCGACGATGGACCCTTAGGTGACCCACCAACACCACCATCAGTAGCGCTTCCTCCTCCCAACACCTTAACCGTAGGACTTGTAGTTGCCCCAGTCGTCCTGCCGCGTCCTCGGTAAGCAATCTGCTCGAACTCCGCCAACAAATGCGACTGAAACTTCTCCACCGAGATCAAGCTGGGGGCCGAGTCCAACTCCAGGCTATACCTCAGCATATTAGTGCGGAAGGACACTTCGCCGTGCCGCTCCAGCATGGATTTCGATGCAACGTCCAACCCCCTTAACAGTATCGAGGGATCCGGTACTTGTAGCGAAAGATCTTGTGCTCGTTTCAACCATCTCGCCCACCTCCGCAAAGACTCCACAAGCTCCATTGCTGTGTTTGACGCCCCGGGAGATTCCAGAGCCTTTAGCACCTGCTGACGTTCCACTGCTGACCCCGGCCTGTAGATAGTGAGAATGCGTGCCAGGATTGACAGAGTGCTCTGTAGCCTGTTCGCCAAGACCTCCGTGCGGATGTTGTCCGGAATGGCTTGAAGGAGCATAGACGCCGCTCTTTTATCCACCCTAACCCAACGGGCCTCTCTGAGCAATGAGCCTGCATAGTCATCTGCCCTAAGCTGCGGCTTTTTGACCGCTGAGGCACTCACATAGTCCCTGTAGTAAGAGTCTAGTGCCAACATGACCTGCGACCACCACTGCGAGCTCCCATCTGTGAGGTCGCCCATAGGTCCGCTAAGACCATGTAGCCAGTCTCCAACATTGATTGCCGCCATCTCGTCCGCCTCCGCCAACTTTGGTAGCTCTGATCCCGCCGTCCCCGGCCGAATGGCCTCTGGCTTAGACGCGCTCATGCCCATCTGCATTGCCATCGCTGTTTGAAGCTGCGCAATTCCTTGGGCGAGTGCTTCCATGGGATTCGTTGGCCTGCTTGCATTCGACTGAGAACCCACACCTGCTCCGACACCATCACGCTCTGGTACTGCTGAACCACTGGGGATGCCCGACGCATACTGGTAGGAAGGACCAGAAGAGATGCCCGACGCATACTGGTAAGGAGGACCAGAAGAGATGCCCGACGCAT